TAGCAGAGCGTATTAGAACAAAGAAACCTGACGATCTTCACGAAAGCTTCACCAACAATCAACCGGACTAATCCTCAGGCGCTCGATATCACAAACCAGACTCTTACCACGAACTCATGGAAATAGAGTAATAACAAAATGAGTATTAACATGGAAAGAATAATTTGGAAACTTCAATTAAATTCTAAAGTCCTAAAAATCAGCTCTAAAAAAAATTCTATTTTTTGTATCATTTTTATCATCAAAACTATGAAAAAGAAAATTCCATGAGAAAATAAATCACTTGGTCACTTATCGAATTTCCTCAAGGCAAGAAGGCAATTGATGTTAAGTGAGTATAAAAAGTGAAGATGAATCCCAAAGGGGAAATAACTCGACACAAAACAAGACTTGTGGCGAAAGGATTTTTTCAGATGGAATGAATTGACTTTGATGAAGTTTTTGCCCCTGTGAGTATAATCGAAGCAATCAGGTTGGTTGTTGGTCTAGCAGAAATGAATAGTTGGCACATAAGTCAGATGGACGTAAATTGTGGATTCCTGAATGGACCCTTAGATGAAGAAGTCTATGTTATATAACTAGTTGAGTTTGTGAAGTATGGCAAAGAGAGAAAGGTGTACAGGCTGCATAAAACACTGTATGGATTAAAGCAAGCTCCAAGAGCTTGTAATAAGAAGATAGATAGCTTTCTAAGGAAGAAGGAATTTGTGAAGTGCATAACTGAACATGGAGTATATGTAAGAAGAAGCAATAGTGAATTGCTTATACTATGTCTTTATGTCGATGATTTGTTGATAACAAATAGCTGCAAAAGTGAGATCGAAGACTTCAAAGGTGATCTCAGTAAGGAATTCAAAATGTCTGATCTGGATAATATTCATATTTCATTGACATCGAATTATACAAGAGTAGTAGAGGTTTGATGATGCATTAAAGAAGATATGTAGGAGAAATTATCAAGAGATTTAAGATGAAAGAATGCAATTCGACTTTGACACCTGCAAAACCAAGACTGCAACTGTCAAAAGATTCAGAAGAAGATGATATGGATCAAAATCAATACATAAGACTTATTGAGTCATTAAGATACATTTGTCACACGAGGCATGACTTAGCATACAGTGTATGTATGGTAAGTAGATTCATGCAGAAGCCAAAGGTATCACACCTAACAGCAGCGAAGAGGATACTTAGGTATCTGAAAGAAACTCTTAACTATGTCATTTTGTTTCTTGCAGTTGATAAAGGAAAAGAACGCAGTTTAGTTGGATACACTGATTGAAGTTGGCGTAGTGATGCTGAGGATCGGAAGTCCACAACAGCATATGTGTTTATGCTAGGTGGTGCATCAGTTGCTTGGAGTTCGAGAAAGGAACCAATAGTGGCATTATCATCATGTGAAGTAGAGTACATAGTTGTTTCTCTTTGTGCATGTCAAGGAACATGGATGGTGAACTTGGTCGAAGAAATCACATAGAAAGATCATGGAGCAATTACCGTGAAAATTGACAGCATTTCAGCTATCAATTTGGCGAAGAACTCGATAGCACACGGTCAAAACAAGCACATCGAAATGAGGTTCCACTATCATCGAGAGAAGGTAGCAGATGGGAAGATAAACTTAGAACACTGTAGAACTGAGAATTAGATTGCAGACATCATGATGAAGGGAGTGCAGGTCGAAGTGTTCAAAAGACTAAGAACTATGATGAATATAGATAGCTTAGACACAATGAATTAGGTGGTGTGTTGAAAGTATAATTCCTTGTGTCTAATCAGCTTGTTCGACAGAAAACAAGGAAGTGTCGAAACGATTTGTTACATACATATTTGATTTAGATCTAAAATAAATAGATTTGATTTAAGTCTGAAATAGACAGATTTGATTTAGTTCCAAAATAGGTATTTTGAACTTTTATAGTTTTGAGCTTTTATAGTTTTGGACTTTGCCTTAAAAAACAAGTTAAGCTAAAATTATAAATAGTGAGAATAACCCATACTTTTTGTAATCAATCAAGTTGTATTCACAGAATTTACAGTTGCAATTGAATAAGAAGTTTTTCACAGTTTGTAGACAGAGAGAAAATCATCGTAGAAAATCATTGTCTTTCTTTCATATTTTTCATCGTTATTGTGTGGTGATAACAATATTATTCATCAAAATCGATAGAAATTCATTATAGAAATTGGTGGATTTTCAACACTTATATGTTAAGGTTTTTTTCTTTTTTTAGGGTGTAATTTGTTTTAATTTTTTTATTTTTTCGTATAACCAAAAATATATCTTACATGAGTCATGTAATTTAGCACCCATCTATTACGTGGTAGGCCACATACATGAATTTGTCCAATAGTAATAATAGAATGGAAATTGTCTTCCTCGGAAAAAGAAAGCTCAACAACTCATCATCGTGTATTTGCTCAAATATTGATTTTTAGATTCATCATCGACCTCAAGTTCAAGGTCTTGACTCTTCTCCTACCAAAAGTCACGTGCAATGAAAATTTATACCAATAACACCATGTATAGTCTCAATCCATCATTTCCTTTCACTCATCTCATAAAAAAAGAATCTCAAAATATGAATGGTGGGAAAAACTAAGTCCCTTTTTAATTTTCATACTTAGCAATACCATGGGCTTTCTTGCTTCATTTTCAATCCATAATTCTTGCCACTCATAAAATGTTCCTATTTGTTGTATAATATAAGTCAAATATTACTGCTTCCGGTCTTTTATATATGACATTTATTTTTTGTTGTTTTTTTCAAAACAATCATTTAAATCACAAATTTAAATTCAATATAGTATTTCAATTAATTTTTTTAATAAAAAATATTTTAAAGTATTAACGTGTTGCAAATAGTTACCATATTTTAAAAACAAAATATTTATAAGTAAATGCTCTGTAACAAAAAAAAATGAAAGAATTAAAACGAATGGTTATATATATATATATATATATATATATATATATAGAATCTTTTTTATTATTTTTAATATTTAAAACTTTCATAAAAATAGAATCTTATCAAAAATATTATTTTATATGCTATTTAATTTTATATCAAACATATTAATTTTAATTTTTCCATGTTCTCTTGTACAATTTTTTTTAAACTCTCTTGATTTTTTATATTTATTGTAAAAAAAAAATCATATTCTATATTTTTATTGTTGAGAAATTTTGATATTATTTATTTACTAAATAGACATAACTGTAAAATAAACATATATTTTATTTATCACCTATATATATTTATTTATTAAATTTTTTTAAAGAAGTTGAAATTATTACCTATATTTTACTTTGGCTGATTTATTTATTTACAAGTTAAGAAATTATTATTTTAACAAGTTCTACTAAATAAAAGCACATTATTAATTTATCATCTATATTTTTATTTGATTAAAATATTTTTTATAAGAAAAAATATTTTCATTTAATTTATCATATATATTTAATTAAAAATATTTAAAAGTTTGAAAGTATTACCGATATTTTAATTTGGTTGATTTATTTGTTTGCGTGTGTGGAAATTTTTTATTTTTGTAAATTTTATTATTATGACTATTTTAATAATTTATACTATTGTCATAAAAAATTTAATAATTGTAACGACTCTTAGTTATTGATAAATTAGAATTTTGATCTTATTATTTATTTATATATTTTCAATATAAAATTATCATTTTTGCAATAATGAAAATATTTTTCAATATATTACTTGCAAGAATGATGACTTCATATAAGAAAAAAAGTTAAATAAATAATAAAATTAAAATTTCTAATTTGTCAATATCCAAAAGAGACCACAATTATTTAAATTTTACAACAATAGTAAAATTTATTTAAAATAGTCAGCATGGTAAAATTTGTAAAATAAAATAAAAACTGAATTAGCAAATAAATAAATCAACAAAATTAAAATATTGGTAATACTTTCACATTTTTTCAATATTTTTAATTAAATATAGGTGATAAATCAAATGAAAATATTTTTTTTAATAAAAAATATTTTTAATCAAATGAAAATATATGTGATAAATTGATAGTGTATTTTCATTTAAAATGGTCATAGTAGTAAAACTTGCAAAAATACAAAATTTATAACTTACAAATAAATAAATAAACCAAATTAAAATATAAATAATAATTTCATAATCTTCAATATTTTTAATCAAGTTAAAAATATAGGCGATAAAACAATAATAATTTTTTTCTTGTAAAATACAATAATATTTTTTTTAAAGGTCACAACAGTATAACATAAAAATAAAAAAATTTCTAAACAATAAATAATAAATATAAAATATCCTTAACAATACAAAAATATAGTATATAATTTTTTTAATAAATAATAATATTTGGAACTCCCTAACAATACACTAAATAATAATTAAAAAAAATGAATATTTTAGACATATATATTTTAGTAAAATAAATAATATCAAAATTCCATACCGATAAAAAAAGATGATTTTCTTTTACAATAGATTTAAAGGATAAGAGAGTTTTAAAAAAATTATACAAGATCTCATGGAAAAATTAAAATTTATATATTAATGGCAAAATTAAATAGACATTGAAAAATATTTTGATAAAATTTTATTTTTATAAAAATTTTAAATATTAAACATAAAAGAAATAATTCAATAAAGTGTTCTTTATATAAATATATACAAAAGATATCAGTTCTCATCGGATATATATATATATATAACTTTTTCAATTTATTTACATTTTCTTATGATTTTTATAAATAAAATTATCTTATTTTATTAATTCATCAACAAATATATCTAACGTATCAAAATAAAAAACGTCAATTGTTAAATAAATTAAAAAATTAAATTAATTTATAATAGTGATAGAAAATAATACATATATATTTAACCTATATTTTAAATCAAATACATATGAAAACCATAAGACTCATATATTAAATATACTTGTGTAATAAATATCACTAGTATTAACACACTACGGTCCACTTCTCATGTGTCCCTCTTCGATGGAATCGCCAAATTCTCTCAACTCAAGTCTTCCTCCTCACAACCAACCTGTAAGTGCATCTCTTTCTACTTTATTTTATAAATTAAACTTTTTCAGTTCAAAAATATTATAGATATTTAGGTTCAGATGGAATAAATATGGTTAACCAACCATCTAAGGCTAAGATTTATTGATATTAAAGATTACAAAAAATCATAAGTAATTAGTCTTTACTCCAACATCTTAATATTTCAAATTAAGATCAAATAGATAGAAGAAACAAGTCTAAGTTGATTTTGTATTTTTTATTAAATAATATTTTATTATTTTTAGCAATTTTACAAGTTGAAATTAAATCAAGATTATGCATAGATGTAATTTTTGTTGAGGCAAACTGAGTATTTTTTTGTAATTGGTGTAGTCTTAGTATCATATTGATGTTAGAATTATAATGCATTTTTTAAATTCAAAGTAGTTGTCTAGTCCTATAAAATAAATATAGCTGTCCAGGCTTTTTTTTAAGTCAAAAGTTTGGAGACTTTTTCATAATTTTTTTCTAAAGCAACAGTTTTTCGAGACTTTTTCATAAATCCATGTCCATTTTAGATTTACAATCAAACTATTTAAGAAATAAGATTGAATGGATTGAGATTAATGGAATGAAGTTTTGATGCGATGGAGCTGGTCTTCGGTATGACGGAGCGAGAATATATTCGCAAAGTTGGTATTCAAACACTTAAATCAATAAAATGAGTGAGAAAGTAATTTGAAAGTGTGAATGACAAAATATTTGAAATGGTGTGTGTTGATGTTTATATAAACTGGACGGTTATAACTGTCTTCGTGAGATCTGGTGTCTCGCACGAATTTTCGTCCAACTAGATCTGACAGAGATAAATATACTAGAGGCCTCAATCACTTGTCATCGATTGGGGCGAGGTCTCACCATTTTATGTCTTTCATTGAGATGCTTGTTAATAGGTCTTTCATCGTGAGTCTAATGAATAGTCCAGAACAGTTTTGCCCCTAGTCCTTGCTCGTTCGAATGTACTAGGGCATTTGAATGTTCTAAACAATTTGAGGTAAAATGTTGACTGTTTGAGGTGTGGTTTGCTCTTCCCAGCATTTACTATAATGGATCATACGGCCGCCTTCATTAGAGGACATAGAAGAGTCACGAGGTTACCATATTCCCTTTTGTCACTAGTGAATCTTGAGAGTTCTTCTTTTGTGTTTGCAAATTCTTTTATCTTTGTCAATATCCTTTAAGTGGCCATCATTTTGACGCATTTGTGCCACCTTTTCTGGTGGAGCATATATCTTGCGAGTCATCAAGTTCATCTTTTTCAAAGTAACACCTCAAACTGTTTCTTTCCTTCTACATTTGTTCGTATTACAAAGGTTTCTTAAGAAGAAAGTTGATGGAAGGTTTAAAGGAGAAAATTTTCATTTATGGTAGAACATTGGGTGGCAATCAATCAACTATCTATCTATTAAAATTAACTACCATCAAACTACCAATAATATCCTTCACTTTAAATTTTTTTACACTTACAAAAGATTAAAATAGTAAAAACTTAATCTCTCAAATAACTCACTCTACTTCAATCAAATGCTACCAAGTATCAAGTTCCTATTTGATACTTTTTGAACTTTCACTTTTTCCTCTACTTCTCACTATTTTACTCACCATCTCATTTTTCTTTCAAATTAAATTAAATTTTTATATTTCTTTCTCTTTTCATTTCATTATTTTATCTTTTCTATCTAATTATTTTTTTCTCCTAATTATTTTTAATATATTAAAATATATAATTATAATATATGATTATCATATTAAATATTTATTAGTGTATAAATATATACAATTTTGAAATTTAGTTTTGTTTTTACGACAAATTTAATCAATTGTATTTATTTATTATTATTAAAAATATTAATTAATCTATATTAAACTTTAATAAATTTAAGAATTTATTTTATAAAATTAGATAATAGTAAATAGTCATATATACAACTAATTTTCCATCTCACATTTCACTATCCGAAAAATATTTATTTTATTTTAATTAATAATTTTTATTATTTGAGATACAAAATTCTTATTTTTAAATATCAAAATTTTATTTTATTTTTTCCTCACAGATCACTATCAACAAAATACATATTTTATTTTAATTAACAATTTCTTCATTTGAGGCACAAAATTCTTATTTGCAAATGTCAAAATTTATTTTTTCTCACGGGTCACTATCAGTAAAATATCTATTATGTTTTAATTAACAATTACTTTTATTTGAGACACAAAATTCTTATTTTCAAATGTCAAAATTTTTCTTTTTCTCACGGGGTACTATCACCAAAATATCTATTTTATTTTAATTAAAATTGCATTTATTTGATACACAAAATTCTTATTTTCAAATGTCAAATTTTCTCTTTTTCACACGGGACACTATCAACAAAATATCTATTTTATTTTAATTAACAATTGTCTTTATTTGAGACAAAAAATTCTTATTTTTTAAATGTTAAAAGAAATAGTTCATAGAAATGTGTTTGTTAGTGGATGTCGCTACAAAATAGGAGAGTCAGTTTATGAATAATGAGTAATATAAGAATTTATTCTTTACTTTAATAATTTTTTGGTGACTATTTCTTTAACTTGCTTATTTTCTGTGTTATAGATAAGATGAAATGTCCTTAAACGATGCTATAAATGAAGAGGACCCCTATGACCGTCCCTTCACTTTGAGGGGCCATTGATATACCGGCTACTATAGAAATTTAAATTATGGGGTCTTCTACTCGTCCTTCCACACTCAAACTTTATATCTCGGTTTAAATAGAAGTCTAGGGTTTATCTTATCAATTTACGGTGAAGGGTGTTTTATAATAGTTGTCGTGAATGGTTGGAAGGACTCCTTTCATGGGGCATATTTCCAAAATTTATCTCAAGTATGAGCCATCTAGAATATGGCCTCAAATAACTGAGCAAGGTCATGGGGGCTTGGTTCTGGACAAGGTTGAGCGTCAACTCATATAACATTGTCTCCTACATTTTTTGCTCTTCCCGATCCTTAGACGGCTGAGTTTTTTCGTCATTTTTATGAAGAATATTATGCCTACTTATTGAGCAATGTCAAGAATGTTCTTCAGGAAGAGCTGTTAAAATGGCATACCAAGCGTGAAGGGAGTTGCGTATCTTAGCATTTAGTGATGCTAGTAGTGAAGATATCTTTTCTGTCCCTAAATGTCTTTGAAAATGAAAAAAATGCACCGGGAATGCATAAATGCTCTTACTGTTTACAAGTACAAGTATTTGAAGGAAGTCAATAAGGTGAGTGTTCTACTAAGAGAGGTATGTACTGGTGTGCATACTTTCGGGTACCCTCACTTACTGGATGAAAGGGTGCAATCACTTGTGTAGGAGATGAAGAACATGGATGAAGCTCTAACATCCACTCGGATGACACTGTCGAAAACCAAGGCCATACTTGCAGAATAAACCCAAGTATTGGACTCCTCATGTAAGATGGTAAAAGAGTTAGAGGTGTCTTTGAGCAAGGATCAGGAAGGTTAGATGAACGTTGAGGACGGGCTTCAGAAGATGCGTCTTGAAAAACTCTAGTTATCCAAAGAGGATGTGAAGATAGTGGAAGACAATTTCTTTGTTTTGCAGGTTTCGTTTGAAAATGACTTATAACACGTAGAGGATTTTCATCCTAGATTACACATTTCATGAGAGAATATTTATCCAAATTAAAAGATGATGGATGAGAAGTCGGTCCTTGTTAGTGGTAAATAATACCCGTACTCTCTTAGACATTTTTATACCTGGTATAATCTTACCAGTTGTATTACTTTCTACAAAATAAATAAGTTTCCATAGTTACTGCTTTATAGCATGTTTCTTATTTTAATCTCTTACCCTTGTTTCTATCTCTTATGGTGTTGCTTTAGTTCCTTGAAATTTCTTATCCTGAAATTGGATGGTGTTTGAGGTCGTGCTCAAAGGTTCTTTTGGACATCTCTGAGGACTGTTCCGGCCAAGGGCCGGTACCCCCGTCCCTTACCCCTAAGTTTGAACTTTGTATGAGTCTGAGGTAGTGCTTACTCACCACTATGCTCTAGAGTTGATATCATCCAACAAGTGGGTGAGCCCGGATCACCACTCTGTTTTATGGTATATGGTCTTTATCCATGTGACTTTCGTTGTATGGTTTTTATTCCTTTGGTCGAAGGCGTGCACATGTTGCATTTGGGACGACGCCCTTAGGTCATGCATCTCTTTTGTGATCATAAAGAGGGAAATTTGGTGAAAAATTATTCATTTTCATTGAAAAGGATATTACATTGTGATGCATATTGTTATTTATGTATATAGAAAAAAAATTAACTTAACCAAATGATTGTGTTTCTACTTATTGGTCTCTAGGCGTGCGGATAGCGCACACTATGGATGGATTCACCCTTCATTATGAGTCGTCCCGTGCACATATAAAATTAGTATGATTCATGTAATACATGTTGGGGAAGCTTCCCTCTTCTTTTAGTGGTTTGGTTTCCATTTCTTTCAATTTCTTGGTGAGGGACGCTATGTTGATTTCCACCATACTCTTTTTATCCTTCCTTTTTTGGTCGTGTAGCAAGGCCTTATGTATCCTTCATTCTCCAAAAGGTTGGTCCATATCATCATCGACTCGTCATGAACATTGTGGCACTTCATTTTCAAGTGGACTGAGGAAGCCACCACATCCATCGTTGTTGCGTAGGGTCTTCCTAGGATGCAATTATAGATGCTTCTGCAAGAGACTACTAGGAATCCAATTCAAATTTATTTGTGTCCTTCCTTCTCACATGGCGACTATTATCCCAATTTACCCTTATGGGCGAGTGATTGTATCATTAAAAGATTGTAGGTTGGATTCCTCATATGGAAACGACTTCTCTTTTTCAAACCAAGCATTTCAAATATTTATGTATACATAATGTCATAAGAACTCCCATCACCCCCATCCCCACCTCCCATTAATGAGAATTTTAGATACATTGAAGTTGGTTATACTTGTTGTTATAACCAAAGAAAATTTTTCATTTGGAATTCCACCAAATTTTTCACTATCCCGAAATACGAGAATAGGTTACCCTGGTTTTCTTTCATAGTCTCTCTCTGTTATTTGTAAACCATAATTACTTTGATGATTCTTCTTTTTACATTTCTCTTAGAAGGGTTTCTTGGTCGAGGAAAGCCTCCTATGATGGATATGATGCATTGAAATTTTCATTTTTAGTCTTCCTTCTTGTCATCATTGTTGTCTTTCTTTACTTTAAACCACTGACGACCTCTCTAGTTTTCTTTGGGGACCTTTTTCCTTGTGGGGGATCTTTTTTTATTGGTGATTCATCTCGCCTCTTATACTCTTTGTTTATATCTCAGTCCTTCTTCTGGCTGACCATCTAGATGTACTGGTACGTCATCCCTTATTTACCAGTTCTCTAATTGCATCCTTCAGGTTTATGTATTCATACGTGTTGTGGACATGACTTTTATGGAAAAGACAATACTTTGAATTATCTTGTTGACTCCCTGATCTGATAAAGGTTCTTAATAACCATTTCTTTAAAGTAGTTTTTTGCATAATATTTCCATATTTTCTTCTTTGACGTGTTCAAGGGAGTTTATGATGAGAACTTGACTCAAGACCCTCATTTTGTATCGTCCCCACGCGGTTGGAGTCTTTGTGATTCGCCCAGTTGTTTCTAGGGTTCATTCCTTATTGTCTCCTCTTTTCTTCTTTCACTACGATTTCTTCCTCATCATTAATATATGGTTGGTCTCTTTACAACATGTCATTTAAGCTATAGACTCCCTTTAGCCCCAACTTTTAATAGAACGAGTAGTTTTTCCTTAACCCCTTCTTGAATATCCATCATTTTAAGTATTTGTTTGTTCCACTTTCATGGTGTGAATTGGGTTGTGAAGAAGTTACATAACCCCTTCTAGGAAGTTATGATTCTGTCTAGGAGAGCCTTGAACCATGTCATGGCGGCTCCGTTGAGGTTTAGCATGAAGAGCTTTATTTTATGACTCATCGAGCATGATAATAGTCCAACATGGTATTAATATGCTCAATGTAATTGTATTAATCCCATGTTCCATAATAACTCTCCATCTTTGGGTATTTAACGAGATATATGGATCCTACTATCAATGATCCGTATTGGAAGCAGGTTTCTCTTTGATTACAAGCTTGTGCTTCAGCATCATGTCACTCCTCCCTTAGGGATTGAAGCAATGTTGATCAATTATGACTATTGTCATTCGAGAGCATATGGGTTCCGCCTCTTCCTCTAGAACCATGAGGTAGAATCTAGTATCCTCTAAGAAGATTGTGATGGCTATCTAGGTACTACCCTACATGTTTTCTTTGATCTGGATTATTTTTTCAACGTGGAAGTGCAAATTCTAATATTGTACTGGGTTATAGGCATTATTCAACAAATAGTTTTCCTCTTAGGTTCCAAAACCATTTTGTAGTTATTGAATAATGTGGAGCATTTCATGCCTATAAATCATAGGTTGTGACAAAGGTTGTTTCAATGTCTGACCTTACCCCCTTTTTATAGATGGTTGAAAGGTTGAAAGATATTGGAAGGTCCTATGTCCCACTGCTAGCGATTCTAGATCTTGTAATGTTGGAACTGTATGAGGAATAACTAATACCATAACATCTTTAATCATCAGAGGACGTGGAATCTCCCTCATAGGATCCAAAGCGTTGGTTGCAGCAATAATCGCAACAATTGTGTTGCATGGGACGAGTGCACAAGTGGCTTTAGAAGGTAACATGATAGTAGAAACTGGATCAACAATCTATGGTAGGAAGAGATCGTTGATCTAGAATCGTGTGAAGAGATGGTGGTTATTTGTGGAAATTCACGAGAATAAGAAGTCACTTTTTACAAATGGTGCCATTGTTTCGAACTGGAACCAGAAATACGTAGAGTGGGCGGTTAAAACCATTTCCATGAGATTCAACGCCTCACGCAGGTTGTCACCCGACTAGATCCAACAATGAGAAATATATTGGAGGTAGGAATTACATGTCCATGGCTAGAGAGATGTCTCACTTATTCTGAACATCTTTTTATGTAATGCTTGTTATCGAGCCTTTCATTATGAGTCTTACGAGTGGATCCTAGCTAACAGATTTATTTACATATCTATTTTAGATATATATTACAATCAAATTAGTTGCGAATAAGATCAAAATATACTTCATTTATAGTATTTGATAACATTTCTATTGTAGTAAAGTTATTTCTATTGCAATGACATTTAAACTATTTTTTAATATTAAATGTTTAAATAATATTCTAAATATATAATAATTATTTACATTGCATAGCTTTTTTTTTCTCCCTTAGTGGGCTTTATAATTGGAAAATTTCTCTACGGTGCTTGTTCTTTCTTTTTCATATGAATTTTTTTATTGAATTTTGAATGTAATAGTTTAAAATACTTTTTGTATTTTTTATCAATAAAGTTATTTTTGGATTCAACAAAAAAACCAATGTTCACTTTAAATAAGTTATTGTGATTTGGTTAATCCATTTTCTAGGGTTGTCTCATTTAAATACTTATTTTTATTATTCAAATAGATTGTAGAAAAATCAGAGAGGGAGAAAAAAATTGAAGAGTGGCTTCCAATTAATGCGGATAGGAGTGCAAAATGGTGGTACTCAGCTTTTCATAATGTCACTGCTATGGTTGGAGCCGGTGTTCTTGGTCTTCCATATGCCATGTCACAACTTGGATGGTATATTAATGTTCAAACCCATATTTAACATTGACATGAAATATTATTTATAGTAAAATATGGAAACAAGTTTTTTTAATTGTATGGTTCTGAAGCTTTTAAATTTGTAGTACTTTCTTTTTAATAAAAGAACATATATATTGAAAAAGAAGAAAAGGATTACAATTACAAAACAGAGGAGAATAAGTTTAGCCCCATATACATTTTTTGGTGGTTGTATAGTTCACCTGATTATTCATTTACAAATTTACTAGCATATTAAATTGCATGGAAAATGTTCGCATTGCATTGACCTAGAACTTGTCCTATCGTGTAATCGCTTGCATTGCACATCAGTTCAATGGTAAGTTCTCAATTTGGAGTGACCATTATGGATTCAATCACTAACTTTTATTTAATAATAGAAAAATATTTAAAACATTCATCATCAAAATCAAAATTATTTTCCTTAACTAGAAGGTTGCAAAGAGATTTTGCAATTTTAGAGAAATTCTTTATAAATCTTCGGTAAAAATCAGCATGTCCTAGGAATCTTCTCATTCTTTTAACATTAATGGGAAGGATTAATTTTTCAATAACTTTGATGTCTTTCGATGATATTTTATATCCTAAGACGATACCTTTAGTTACCATTAAATGGCATTTTTTCTAGTTCAAAACAAGGTTTGTTTTGGTATATTTCTCCAGAACAACAATAAGGTGATCAAGACATTTGTCAAAGTTACTAGCAAACACAGAAAAATAGTCCATAAATACCTCGATTGAAGATTAAATCATATAAGAAAATATAGAAAACATGCACCTATAAAAAATTGTGAACACTTCAAAAGGGCTTGTGTGGGTGGTCTTTTATTGATCTGTGGGATCTACAGTAATCTGCTTGTATCCTGAATAGCCACCCAATAAATAATAATAAGCTTGATCTTCTATTATTTCTAAAATTTTATCCATAAAGGGTAATGGAAATGATCTTTTCGAGTTGCTTGGTTTAACCTCCTATGATCAATACACATCTGCCATTCGGTAACTGTTTGAGTTGAAATGAACTCTTTCTTTTCATTTCAAACAAAGATCATACCTCCCTACTTAGGGACTACATGCACTTGACTAACCCAAGAACTATGAGAAATAAGATAGATCATTCCTGCTTCAAGTATTTTCGGGACTTCTTTTCCCGCCATTTCTTTCATGGTAGGATTTAGTCTTCTCCGAGGTTGAACTATTGACTTGAATTTATAGTTCCTTTTGGTTGGCTAAATTAGGTAAAACAACATTTGTAGAAGATGTATTTTAGGCAACATGAGGAATAAGATGGTTCATCATGTGTTCTAGCATCTGAGTGTGATTGTGTTTGATTGTTGAATAGTTTTGTTCAGCTAAAGTCCTTGATAAAACCAGTTAAGTAATAGTTTACAAGGTGTAGCTAAAGTGATTGACGGAACTAGTTAAGAAGAAGAGCTCAACATGTGATCGTGTATCATATTGGCATAAGATTTAGGTTCTGAGTATCTTCAGAGATGTCCTTCAGAAGAGCTATGGTTATGACTTCTTCAGAAGGCGCAGAAGCCTATCTATGAGAAAAAGTTGATGTTGGATGAGATTCATTCAAAGAAGATTAGGTTGGATGTACCTTGAAATAAGATTGGGTTCAAGAACTACTCTACAAAGAATATGGATATAAAGAGAGTTAACTTTGATGCTTTGATGTAACATGTGGAACCCAATGTTCCAATATGTGTGATGCAACATCCAGTCTCTTACAATAAATAAATGTTATTATAGTTGTGGTTCTGAATTAATCTATCCAAGTTTCACTCTAAAAAGAAGATCTTTAGAATCTTGCTGAAGAGTTAATTTGGATATTCTAGTACAAAACGTTGAGCAGATGCTTTAACATGTGTGTAGTGCAACATGTAGAGTTGACAACATGCCATATGGATCTTACTTGGTGCACAATTTCTGATTGGGATTTAATCAGATTTCTTGTAGCTATTTTAGCAATGTTTGTTTGATTTGTTTCACGGCTGGAGATGTTCAAATCAAATTTAAATGGAGATTGAATTTAAATTTTAAATATAACAAATCATATCTTATTGTTGAAGACAATTATGGAGAAGATCATATCCAACAAAATCAACTATTTTCTAGACTAAATCAAATCAGATATCCAAAGGAGAAAGCCCATAAGACATTTCTATATACGAAGACTTAAACCTCACGTTTGAGGTGTGCATGTTTTGAAGATTCCCGGTGTTAGGGTTTATCTTTAGAGTCTTTGTTAGTGTTATCATTATGCACAACTCTAGCGCATCCATACATATCTTAAGGCATAAAGTTTAGTTTTATAGTTGAGTTGTAAATCTTCCAACATACTAACTTTATAATCTTGGGAACAAAGTGTTTATTTTATTCCACACTAATGCCATCATAAGGGTTAATGTTTAATCTTTGTGTATATCATTATATGTTTCACAAACTTCGCATAGTTGTTGGTTTGTATTAGTTCAGTTGTAAACTCAATATTAAATAGAGTTGTTATTGAAGTTTATCACTAGAGGTTAGTGATTGAGAGAAGGTGATAGTGGTTATTATATTTAGGGGGAGAATATAACAAAGTTTCACGAGTAGTATTAGGGAAGTGCCCCTGAATTTGGTGAATTCAGAGTAAATTTTATTTGTCATTCTGACTATTAGGAGTGCAATAGTTCTATATAGAGTCCTAAATAAAAATTAACTAGGATTAGGAAGAGGCTTTGAACAACATGGGATTATTGTTCCTATAAAATATACTATTTTGAAATAGTGAATTTCCTTTCTTGGGTAGAGTGCCCTCCAAATGTTGATGTGGTTTCATCGAACTAGGTTACCAATCTCTTGTGTTCTCTTTATTTCTTTTCTGATTCATCATCTTGTATAATCTAAGACATTATTCATTATTGTCATACTGGATTATCAAGTTAGACCTATTGTTGCAACATCGTGTCCACCATATGCCTCCACAAGAACACAATTATAATTCACATTAAAGCAGGCACTCTATTATGTTTGGGTGTGTTCTGGGGTTCTTATTTTGTTCAAGATGGGTAATTTTATTGAAGGATGAGAAGCTTATAGTCCAAATATAATTTATCCTCCAAAGAATAGAGCCAAGGGAATTTATGAAGATTGTGAAGACCGGGGAGAAAGAAATCTCAAGCTAGCTAAGAGATTTAATAAATTCTTGGAAAAACTAGATAAGAGATCTGTAAGAATGTATCTTCAAGTGGTCGATACAAACAACATAAAGGAAAAGGTGGTGAAATACAAAATCTCAATAGAATCCAGTGTATTAAATGAAAAGGTTTTAGACATATTCAAGTTGAATGCTCAAGTTTTTTAAGGAAACAAAGAAGAATCTCCAATGTCACTAATGATGAAGAAGGTGAATTTAATCAAGAAAACATTGGTGCTACTTTCAAAGACATGAAAGAGGGTATACACACTAGTGAGAAATAAAATTCAAATAAAAAGTGTATTACTTCTATTCATAAATCAGAATGCAGAATATCAGGTAACATGTCTCAACATCAGGTCAAACATTATTACTAGTACATTAATTGTATGACTTGCATTCCCTTGTACTATTATAAGTTGTGTGGTACTAAACAACACCATCAACATTGTTATTCTTAGTGGAATGAAAAGTTTCAAAGGAATTATCAACAAAAGTGGTATTGGAAGCCTAATTTTCTTGTTTATAATGCATGTACCTCCCACAAGGTGTTCTCTTGTGTAGATAGGTATCATAATAGCAGTTGCATTAGATAGTTGGTAGAAAAAAGAAACTTGGTTGTACATTGTGATAGTCATAAGAGAAATAAATATGTAAAGATGAAGATAGTGGCTACGACTATAAAACAGAAGGTTGAAGACCATCTTTCAGACATCACGGAAAACATGTAATATATTGAAACTAAACTAGGATACAAAAAGCTTAAGAGTTGGTGCAAATAAATATATCATATGTGTTATGATCTTAATGTTGAAAAAAGAAGGAATTATGAATCTTACCAACTTGAGAAACAAACCAAGATGGCGTACAAGATGGTTCATCATCTTACTCATGCTTCTGAATTACCACATTTAGACTGTATGAGACATAAGCAAGAAGTTATCATTGAAGGGCTGGTTGATGGTCAGTCTGGATGTCCTCCCAACATGGATCCACCAATAGTGGTTCAGAAGAAGATTCTAAAGAAGAATAGTGACTATGGTATGATTGGAATACTTTATCATAACTCTAGAGTGTTGATACATCAAAAACTTGATGTTATGCTTGGTGAAGCTGAAATTGGTGTAAAGAAGTCTTGCTGCAGGTTGTATAGAAAAATATATGTATCATCCATTGCTCTCCACAACATTCCATAAGTTGAAGAGTATGATCTAGATGCTGGTGGAAATGTGATTGATAACCCATAATTGTATGAACCAATAATAAATCATTATCTCATTAAAAAAAATTGGTAAGGAGACCCAGGAAACCAATCTTGGAAATCAAGATGATAATAAACATGTGCCAAACATCATGTTCGACATGTTGACATAATATCCAATGTATAAGTAGAATGATGATAATATCCCTGAAGATGTGATAAGTAAGAACAAAAGCTTACTCTTGGTTTGTGCTATTAATAGCAAGGAGTATGGATTGTTCACCAAGGGCACAAAATATGTTGACGACACGACTCCACATAAAGATGAATAATTTGATCTTAGTGGTCTTGATATGGAGCAAGTTGTTACTAACAATTTAATAAACAATATGCCTTCTGTTGATGAAGATGGAAGTGTTTGTGATGCTGAAATTTTTTATTCTATTACCCATTGTAGAGCCTTCAGATTGATACCAATATTTCCATGTGTTCTGAAGCTTGATATTTATCAAATGGATGTGGAAAGTTCCTTCCTTAGTAGGTACTTGAACATGAAGGTCAATCAAGTTGTTAGTAAGCACGTCACAGACAAGGATGGTATCATAAAGAAGGATGAACTTGTGGAATTATGTATGGAAGCTAGTACTGATATTAACAACATGGAAGCAAATTAGAACATGATTTAAATTCTAACTATCAGATCTCGGATGTCCTAAGAGATGTCAAGACACCGGATCCGACTTCACACACAACAGCAAGATGTATAAAAAAATAACAGTGCTGAAGGATGTGAAGGAAAAATCAAATAAAGTTTCAGAAATTGGGGGTCTGAAAATTGGAGGTGTAAAAGAGATCTTAGGAGTAAGGGTTTCTGAGGAGGTTGTTGTTTTGGTTTGAGGTGAGGTTAAAACTTTGGATTTTTCAGTGAGAGCTGAATTAAAAATCGACGAAGGTGGGATGGATGAAGTTGTAACTGTGATATAAAAATATGGAGGTGGTGTAGAAATTGATAAAGCAATTGTTCTAAGGTCAAGGCAAAAAACCACAGGATTAGATGACTTACTAGTAGGAGCTATAAGAGCAGAAATCTGAGTTGAGATAGCAGATTTATCTAGTTTCTGAATTCTTGGCTTCTTTTGATGAGACTTCTTGTTCTTCTGAAGTGAACCCGATCTTCTCATGAGATGGGAATGAGGCTTATCCAGAATTAAGTCATACTTGATTACAAATGTATTCGTTCCTTCAGCTTCAAGACGTTTGAGATAATTTTCTAGAACTCCAGGTGGATAAAGCTTAGTGAAGAGAGGATAGCCATCAACTGGTACCCCTTGAATCTTTACACTTTACAGATTACATGAACTTTTGGTTTGATCACAACCCAAGATTTATCAACTATGCTCATACTCTTAAGGTTATTACCATTGAATGGTTTTCCAATTGTTGCAATTACATCTTTCATGAGTTTCAAGTTGGTTAGATGGTCTACAAGACCGCTTTCAATCAGAATGTCTCAGATGGTATCTCTCAGATAGTTAAAGAGAAGAGGTGGAAGATACATCATAGTTCCTTCTAACAGATGAAACAAAATGAATTTTTTATCTATGTTGACATAATCAGATGAGCTGTTCGGAGGCTTGGATGAATGCGCCCCGAAATGATCCTAAACCAAACATGAATATTCTTTGAAGAGTTCCAAAACCTTAGTAGGTGGTTTTCCTTTATGAAGCGCTACCTTGAGTCCTATATAGACTGTAGGTGTTACTACATTTGCCGGATATTTTGATTTTGAGTTGGCATGATAAACCACTTTTCCTCCAGTGTTTTCCATTCCAAGTAGGGTAGCTATGGATCTTTCTGTGATGACGACTTTAACACCTAGAACATGGGAAACAATGTATTTATCATCAGCCTCAGCAAATCTCCAAAATTCTTTACCAATTTTGTGTAGATTGGGCCATATAGACGATTGAAGTAGATATCCTAGCCTTGGAATTTTAGTTCCTCGGTTGAATCTAATCCATTTTCTTTGAGATTCTCAAAATCTACGAGAAGTTCAAGAAGAACATCTAATTCATTGGCAGGAGTGGACAAATGAACATGCAATAGACAATCAAGAATGTGAATTTCTTGATATTTTTGAAACAAAACCAAAGATTGTTTTAAAGATACAAAATCAAATGTCGTAGAACTTAAGACCACTTGATGTCATGAATCACATTGTTGCATTTGTTTCGAAGATTGTTCTTGACGAAGCACTTCTTGAGCATAATCAAAAAGTTGTTGTTGAGCATCCATGGATGAAGATGATGAACCGAGAAAAAGTTATAGGGTTCTGAAACAGTTTAAATTGTGGGTAGTGAAGTGAAGAAGTGTGTGACGATGAAAAATCTGAGTTTTTATAAAGTAGTTTTGAAATGATTACTTAAGCATAGAAGACTTACAAAAGGAAAAAGGTAATGATGATTTTAACCTAATCTCAAGAATTTCCATCGCTCAAGGTGTCAATCAAATGACACATTTATGATTTTAAGTTGACAAGTGTCAAAGGAGAATCACAACCATACGTTTGAAAAGGCAAGAGTTGATATAATCAGAGTCATGAATACCAAAGGTTTTCTAACCAAGCAAGTTTCGGATGAAAAATATCTTCTAACTTGTAGAAGTATCGAGATAGATTTCAAAAAAAGACAAGTTATGATTAAAAGATACGAGATTCAAACCTGACATGTAATATTTATGAAGACAATACTTTTCTCACTTGCTTTGATTTCTAATATTCCATTAGATTTTAATATCGTGAGATCCTCTGAACATAGGCATCAGATTTTGAACATCATTTCTGGAGAACAAATATAGCTTTTCTTGTATACTTGGAATTCATTCCTAATCTTGAAGTGCTTCTTAACAAGAGCTAGTTCTAACAGAGACACCAATCTCTGAAGCTTTCCCTCAGATTAAAAAAAAACTTGTTCTGACAATTCAGTTTAATCTCTTAGAGTCAATTCTTCAGATAAGACTTGGCTTTTCTGAACATTGAGTATTTAGATACTTCTAATATATAATTCTTTTTGTTGGAATCCTTGTCCTCAGAACCATTATTCTTTTCTCCAGAACCAAATGTTCCAAATTATTTTAATCTTCGTTCCTGTACGCCTCTAAAACTAACGGTCTTAGCTACATTAAGTTCCAGGTTTTGGAACATATGATTTCTTTCCATTGTGTAAAATGAGCATCCAGAATTCAGGAGCCATGTCTGGTGTTTTAGCTCTGCATGAGATATCTTCAACATTCACTATTTTTTCTTTTAGTACCTAGAGACTCTTGGGTCCTTTAATGTTAGTTTTCCCAGAATTTCGTATAAACTTGGGTTTTGTGCAACATTAACTATTTGTGTTTATGTTGAAGGGTATAGATATGAAAATAGAGCAAATGGTTTATTTTCTTGAATGTCTTCATAAGAATCAAAACCAATTCCTATTTTTCCATAATGACTAACACCATAAATCATGGAATTCATTTTGCATCTATCTATGATGTTGTTCAAGAATTTCTGAAATGCCTTATCATATTTGAATAAGACGGTTTAAGAAGATGAAGGTTCTTTAGAAAGAGTTTCTTCAAGTTTTAAGAATTTCTTGTTCAGAAAGATATTTTCTTTTTCTAAAATAAAATTGTCTCCTTTTAAATCATAAACTTGTTTCTCTAGCTTACCATATTCTTCAACTTTATATTCATGAACTTTTTGAATGTTATTAAGCTTTTATTGAAGCTTCTGATACCTACTCAGAGATTCAGATAGACATAATTATAGTTCAGCATGAGAGAGTTCAGAAAATACCTCTTCTGAGTCAGACTCTTCTCTGCTTCTAGGTCTTCGGAAGTTGTTTTGTCTTTTCTTCCAAAGTTGCTTGACTCTTCTGGAAAGAAGGCACAATTCAACTTCGTCATTAGAAGATTTGTCATTAGAATCTTCTACTTCTTCAGCTTGGAAGACTTTGCATTTTTCTGAATTGGGTCTTTTTGACTTTGATCGTAGAGCAACTATTTTTCATTTATGGGGCTCATCTTCCTCTATCGTTATTTCATGACTTCTAAGGGATCTAACCAACTCTTCAAGAGATAGATTGTATAGATCCTTAGACAATTTCAAAGCAGTGACCATAGGTATCCATTTCTTAGGAAGGTTTCTGATGATCTTTTTAATATGATCAGCTGTAGAATAGCCTTTGTCAAGCACTTTAAGTCCTGCGACTAAAGTTTGGAACATTGAGAACATAGTTTCAATGGTTTCATCGTCTTCCATCTTGGAGGATTCATATTTTTGAATTAAGGCTAGAGCCTTAGTATCTTTAACTTGAGTGTTACCTTCATGTGTCATTCTCAACGAATCAAAGATATCTTTCGTTGTTTCTCTATTAGTGATCTTCTGGTATTCATTGTAAGATATTGAGTTGAGAAGAATAGTTCTAGATTTATGACGATTATTGAGCACACACTTTTGATCATCATTCATTCTGTTTCTGGGAATGGGAATACCAACCGCAGATACAGGTTCTTCATAGCCAAAAATAACAAGATCCTAAAGATCTGCATCATAACCTAGAAATAAAATTTCTAGTCTATTTTTCCTGAGTAAAATTTCTCTCCATAAAAAATAGGAGGCTTAGTATTGTAACCATGTCTTTTGTTTGTATGAGCAGTATCCATAGAAGTTTTTCTCACACTGGATCTCTCTACACGGTTAAGCGTTTGATTTGAAAATCAATAACAGAGTCGGAGCTCTGATACCAATTGAAGGTAGAGAAAAACACAGGAAAGGAGAAGTTTGTTTGAGGTGCTCATCCGATAATATCTCTGATGTAAGGGTGATTTCATTTACTTGCATCCTTTCTTTTTCCACTTGCTCTAGTCGTCGCTTGTCTCCTTTGACATACTCGGCTAACCAAACCCTCCTCATCAGCTCTTCGATGACATCTTTCAGTTGGACGCAATCATTTTCTTTTGTCTGTCTGAGATGTCTCTCTCACAGGGTAAAGGGGTCAGATTCCCACTTTCTGAAATTGAGTATTTACATAATCTTGATAAATTTTCTCATAGGAGAGTGTCATGGGGTATAATTGTCATACTTTCCTAACATTCCCCGATCAGGGTCATCCTGATGCATGGGATTCCTTCCCAACCGGGAAACTAGAGTGAGATACGATGGAAGATGGGTTGTCAAAATGCATAGTCAACTTTTCTTTTAAGATCGTGTAATTTTTTACCATAGTTAACATCTCTGGGCATATTTTAATTTTCTCTTTCCTAACTTGTGATTGAAAGGGTGGTCTTTCAAAAGGTCATTCTCGAAGATCCAGCACTGAGGACCTTATTGAGTCCCTTCTACCTTAATAGATACTTGCATAAATTGGTCTATATACGACCGTAACCTCTATTTATTTCCCTACGTGATCCCTCTTCAAGAAGCTTCAGTTACAGGTCATCACTTTCGGGATGTGAATTGCGCCGAACACCTCTCACAAAACTCTGTCAGAGAATTGATACTTTTGTATGGAAAGCCATTGAACCAGAACTGGGCCGGGCCAACCAGGGTTAACGTAAAAACTTTCACTTGGACACGTCACCAACGTTGAAGTAACTTATTCAGTTATTCACAAGATGCACATATTCGTCAAGATCTCCTTTTTCATCATAATCGCCTAGTTTGGGAGACTTCTCTATAGACTTCGGGATCTTACTCTCTAGGATTTTTATTGACATCAGGTGTTTTAGTTGCCTCTTTTCCGAGCTAGTTTCTACTTGAGCCATGGAAGGATCATGACTGCCCCGGTCTCCCCCGGGGCTGGGATGAGGAGCCTGAGACTTTCTACTTTTACGCTGATTCTTTGACCAAGGAGACTCGTTTTTCTTTCTCTTGGTTGGTTTCGGGACGACCACACGAGCTTTTCCTAAAGTAACTTCTTGAACTATAGTTTTGAGGGAGGGAACATTGTGAACGATTTCTTCCAGATGTTAAAGCCGCACTTCAAGAGGGTGTGAATTTTGTTGCCGAAAGATGTTAAACATTTTGTTCAACAATTCGTTAACACCTTGAATACTAAGGTTTGTTAGAAGAGTGTGGAGGCCAGACAAGTCTTCAGAGAAGAGTTACACTCCTTCCATAATCTTTCTATATATAGTAGTAAAATTAAAATAACTACATTTAAACAAACTTTAAGTAACTTTTAAGGGTGTTTTAACTAACTCATAACCAAAATGTCCCATAAATAAGTTAATAACTCTTTTACTCTTTTTCAGGGGTCCAGGTGTAACTTTACTTATCCTTTCATGGATCATCACATTATACACATTATGGCAAATGGTTGAAATGCATGAAATTGTTCCAGGAAAACGTTTGGATAGATACCATGAATTGGGTCAATATGCTTTTGGAAAAAAATTAGGTCTTTATATTGTGGTGCCTCAACAAATTATTGTAATGGTTGGTGGAAACATTGTCTACATGGTTACTGGGGGTCAATCATTAAAGAAGTTCCATGATATAGTGTGTCCAAGTTGCAGAAAGATTAGATTGACCTTCTTCATATTGATATTTGCCTCTGCTCAATTTGTATTGTCTCATCTACCCAACTTCAACTCCATTTCCGCTGTATCTTTTGTTGCAGCAGTCATGTCTTGTGGGTATATCAACTTCTTTCTATTCTCTATGTTACTAATTTTTAAGATTAAGTATATTTTTTCTCTATAAATATATACTACTTTTAAATCAATATAAAACTTACTCTTTTTTAATTATTATATAACTTATTTGCTTTTTAGATATGTTAAAATTTGTCATTGTAATAAGTATGCCATATTCATTTTATTCCTTGTATAACCTTTCTTAAAAGGACTAAAATCAAATATTCCCCAAATTACAAAGATTAGTTCTAAGAAAACAAATATTACAGAGATTAAAATAAAATTATAATGACTCAATAGGTGACTTAATAGTGGTTGTCTCAATAATCCTGAAGAGGATTTGATATTTTTGTAAGTCCTACATTTGAGATGATAAAATACTCAATATGATCCTTCAGCCATATGGTTCTCTACTAAATATTGATTGATAGGTGAGTGAAACCATAAAAAAAGTTGCAATTAGGCAATGTCCATAAAGTGAAAGCACTATGGAATTTTTGCTCTTAAAGAGTAAGTCAACGTTAATGGTCTCTCTCTGAATTATTAAAAATGCTTAGTATGAACTTGAAATTTTGCAAGAATCCTTTGGAGTCACGTCCCTTTGAAAGTATCATATGTGATGGACCTAAATACAATGAATATATGTTTATTTTCTATCAATTAATGTGCCCTCCAAACAACTAATTATTTTTTATCAATAGTTTTCCTTTAATGTTTTTGCATCTTCACAATTAACAAGTTTCATTTTATCGACACTAACACGATATGACATCCATTTTCTTTTTAACAACTTCACTTATGTGTGTGGGGTAGCATTTCCTAGTTGGGTTAGATAGATGTGAATTGTTGATCCATGATTCAACCCTTGAGCGTGAGATCGTGTATTGCACAAATCAAGTCCCATAAATCAATTGAGCCACTCACAATTTATATCCACACATCAAGTCTAATAGTGTTGATTGTGAGGAGATGTATTGGTAAAAATCTAAGCCGCTCGTTGATTAAAGATAGAGTCTAATAAAGAGTTTATAAATAGTGACATTCATCACCTAACAACTTGGTTTTGTAAAGATTCTCACATCCTACACGCTTCAGCCTTATTGAGGCTTGAGTGTGAGGGAGTGTTGGAATTTCCACCTTCATTAAAGTCTGTATTCATGATTATAATGATTAAAAAATTTAAAGTTATATATGATTCTTTGTTGTTTTTATTTATGAAAGAAAATAAATTCTCCTTAGAGTCTCCGAATAAAGCATTAGGATATATTCATAAGTTCATGTTCATCTAATACCCTCTCCAACTCAATAGTATCATAATCAATCTTTGGTTATGATATTGTGGTAATATACTTTCTTATATCAATTTTTTATTATTTTTTCTCCACAATCTGATCACACATGACCATATATGCAATACTATACACAAATGAATGAATATATAAGCTATACAAAGAAGGAAAACTAATGAGCTTCAATTTAATAAGTTAATTACAATTTAATTTACAAGATAAAATAAAATCAATCAATTGCAATTTCAATGGTTGGTAAAATTATAGGTGTTATTGTTTATTGTTATTATTATGTAACCTACACATTTTCAAGTTAAATGAGGAACGAAATTTGCTAATTAAAATATTTCATGTTTGTGTTTCATAACAGTTACTCCGCAATTGCTTGGACTGCTAGTGCACATAAGGGAGTACAAGAAAATGTAGAATATAGTAACACGGCTACAACTAGTGCTAACTTAGTCTTTAATTTCTTTAATGCACTTGGATCTGTTGCTTTTGCTTATGCTGGACACAGTGTGGTGTTGGAAATCCAAGCAACAATTCCATCAACGCCAGAAAAACCATCTAAGGTTCCAATGTGGAGAGGAGTTATTTTTGCCTACATTATTGTTGCTTTGTGTTATTGGCCAGTTGCTATTATTGGTTATTGGGTGTTTGGTAATGAGGTTAAGGATAACATTCTCATATCTTTAGAGAAACCATCATGGCTTATTGCAACAGCTAACATATTTGTTGTTTTACATGTAATTGGAAGTTATCAGGTCTAATTCATTTCTTATATAATAAATTAAACATTTTTATTGCAATTAATCCTTATAATCTTATAGTTAATTTCTTTTTTTATTGTGGGTGTAGGTTTTTGCAATGCCAATGTTTGACATGCTTGAAAGTGTATTGGTGAAGAAATTGAAATTCAAACCAAGTACAATCCTCCGTTTTGTTGTGCGTAATATATATGTGGGTTAGTTTAATACTGTATTTATATATTTTTACTTTATAATGGAAAACATTGGTACGTCAGTATTATGTTGTCAATGACAGTTGAGTAAAAAACCATGCATCTTGGTATTATATAAATCTTAATGTTATACTTAAGTGTATGTTAGTATATTTAAAACTTTAATGACATATTATTATATTTATTATTTAAAACTAATGAATTTTTGTTTATACTGATAACTCATTTTTTTCAGCACTCACAATGTTCGTTGCTATTACCTTTCCATTTTTTGGTGGATTACTAGGATTTTTTGGCGGATTTGCTGTTACTCCAACAACATATTTTGTAAGTCATGTAAATTTGTAAAAAAAAATATTTTTTTTAGATTTATTATTATTATTTATTATTATAGCATTATTATTATTATTATTATTATTATTATTATTATTATTAGTATTATTATTATTATTATTATTATTATTATAATAGCGTTGTTCAACTCTTTGTTTTTATTAAATTTTCAGCTTCCATGTATCATATGGCTTAAAATCTATAAACCTAAGATATCTAGCTTGTCTTGGTGGACTAATTGGGTAGGTATTTTTGAATTTGTTTTTTTTTTCCTTTAGTTTTTGTAATGATTTATTAATTTTCAAGAATGTATTAATGTATTTTTTTTACACTATTTATTACAGATATGTATTGTGCTTGGTCTATGTATAATTGTCTTAGCACCTATTGGAGCATTGAGGAGTATTATACTTGAAGCTAAGACCTACAAATTCTACACATAAACTTCTTATCTAGTTGAATTACTTATTAGAATGTGCCTTGCAATATGTTTCTTTATACTTTTTATATTTTTCAATTGCAATATACTTTGAAGTTCAACAGAATAACAAATGAAGGAAATTACTCTTATTCAATTTTTAATAAAACTAGTTATTTAAGTTTTAAATTTTTTAGGCATTATGATTTAATTATGGTGTGTCACAATAATATTCAAGAATCGAATCTTTTACAATAGAGATAATTTTTATATATTAAAAGTATACATTTTATTTAGTATGTTAATCCAATTAAATCATAACAAATATATATTTGTATACAAAAAATATAATAGGTTCTTCGGACATTAAGAGTATGCACGTGTAATTAATTTGTGCATGATTTTTAAATTTAAAATAAAAATATAATGACCTAGTGTATCATTATGTAAAAGTAAAAGGAACTGCCTTCAAATTTGCAATCAATTCCATTTATGGTTAGTTTATATTGTAAATACCTTCCTTTACTTTTTTAGATAAGGCGAATAATATATAAAGACTAATTTGAGATTCTACAAATGTAAAATAACCTTCTCTTTTGATTGTAATTTTTTATCCATAATATCTTGCAAATCTTTCATTTTTTTTGTTTTGTATTACTTGCAAACTCATGGTGTGGAGTCTCTTTTAGATCAATATATTCACTTGTTTATCTCTATCAAATGTTAATGAGATCTTGTGTAATGTATAAAATTTTAGTTTTGAATATGTTTAATTTCAATGGAACAAATAAGAAATGTAATAATGTGTTTACACTGGCGGAGCCAGCGTCCGGCCAGCTAGGGCAGCTGCCCAGACTCGACCGCCTCGATTCAAGGTGGTGGTGCTAATCTTGATGTTGCTGCTGATAGGTTTAAGAGAGCAGAGGAATCACTTAGAACTGTCATGTACTTGAGTTGTTGGGGTCCTAATTAAATTCAAGGTGAAGGTTAAATTATCATAGCTAATGTTTTTGTTTTTAATTTGTCTTGTTATTGTAGTTAGTTGTTTTTGAAAATATATGTAGTAGCTTAAGGTTCATAGAGCTTTGTAAATTTTATGTTAGTAAAACATAATAAATTAACTCATATTTTGCTTATATGTGAGTGTTGGAATGGTTATAATCTTTCAATCATAGTTTTTTTAGTGAAAATTTTAAGACGGTGAGATTGAAGATCATAGACTAGTTGCTTGATGCCTGCTTAATAGCAAAACAGATCAATATAATAAAAAGAAAATGAACAAGGACTACATGATACAACAAAAGCAAAAGTGGTCTCTGTAAACAACAAAGTCGCTAGAAAAAAACAAAGACAGAAGGAAAACATAAACAACAACATACAACTGCAATCCAAAAAGAAAGCAGGCCTACTCAGACCAAAAATCCAACAGAACAAGAAAGCAAATGTTGGAAGGAAGAAAACACAACTACCTCCTGAGCAACTAAAACAGCACACCACTCGCCAAGTGTTTGATGAATTGCTTGATTATACTATGTTTGTAAATGGATATTTTTGTCCATAGATTGGCCATGGCATCAGTATCAAATTGTTGTTGTTACCACCGTTTTGCAACTTGCACACTAACTGTTCGATAAATTGCCTCAACTAAGTTTTTTTCTCTCTTTTTCGCGTCTGTTTCTTACCTTCTTGGGTGTTCCCCTCCTCTGGCCCTGATCCCACTGATGTAGTAAGATTGTGTATCCAGCCATATATTGATCTTTCTGATTTGATTACTCTCCTGATCATGGATTCTTTGCTTTGTTACTTTTGCAGGACTGACAGCGCTATTAAGTTTGAATGGTTTTTCATGTTTTACCTGGTATTGACTATTTTGCTTTATGCATGTTAGCTTTGTTTTGCATTTGGACAAAATTAAATTAGCCTAATTTCTTTTTCTGCTTACAGCTTCACCTTGGATTCTGTATCTTAGTTGCAGTTGCTCCTCCTATAGTTTTCAAAGGAAAATCATTGACGTATGTTGACTTACTATCCACACACACACACCCCATTTAACATGACTTTGTTGCTTGTTCCTAATTTCCTATGTATATAGCTTGTGTTATTCTCATTTTTTAGCCTTATGCTTAGTAATGTCTTCTTATTGATGCAGAGGCATTCTGTCAGCCATAGATGTAGTTGGTGACTATACTTTGGTTCGGGTGAGTATGCTTATCTTGAAGTGTTTATGATTCCTGCGTATGTTTCATTGTTATATGTCGTAACATTTCCAATTTGTTGACACAATTTCACACATGCTAAGCCAGTTTAACGTTTTTCACACAAGCCACATTACAACTCTAAAGCAAATACTGCAAAATCCAATCAGTGAAAAACTTTCTGCTTCTAAACGACTGAAAATTGGTTCTATTTTTGTTGATTTGCTGCTTTCTGCTTCGGAACAACTGATAACTGGTTAAGTTTTTGTTCATTTTCTTGTAGATTTTCTACTTCATTGGATTTGGATTTTTCTGTCTTGAAACATTGATCAGCGTCTGGGTTATCTAGGTTTGATTACACTTAACTATTTAAATATTTTTTCTTAAAACGGATGCATCTTTCGCTTAGAATGCACCCACCACTGCCCAGGCTTCATAATTTTTCTGGCTCCGCCACTGTGTGTTTATAGTATAATATGTAAATAAACATTGATATTGTCATGCATTTGGAATATCATTGAAAAGAGCATTGAGCAATGACTTGTCATGCATTATGAAATTGGAGGAATAAGTATGCATGTTAAGAAATTATGGTCATGCCATAGCTAGTTTGAGATACATTCATGAAGTTTCTAAGATTCAATCTATTATGAGTTGGTCGTCTCTTCCTTTAGATTCGGTAAAGTTGAATAATGATGATGCTGGTAAAAATGTCGAGCGAGCTGGATGTGGGGGTTTACTCACATTCACTGTATGGTAATTGGTTGTGTGGTTTCTATAAATAGATTGATAGTTACATTGTCGTTGTAATTGGGTTATGATGAGTGTTAGAAGGGTTGCAGGTAACACATATAAGGGGCTATAAAATGGTGAATATTTGTGTTGATTCAAATAATATGGTGGATATTTTGAACAAGAAAGGTGGTTACTGTGAAACAGGATAGAGTTTGATACAACATATCTAGAGACTTTTATAATTAGATTGAGAAATAAAAATGTGTCATTCCTATTGTAAAGTCAATTCTTGCACAATTGCTTTAGCTAATATGTGATGTGATAATAATTTGTCCTTGATTATTGTGGGCATTTGTCCATTTCACATTAGACAACATTTTGTTGCAATGTTATATGAGTTAGTACTCCTCATTTGATTTGTCTTTAGTTTTTTTTCCTTTTGAGCATAGACTCTCTCTCATTTTTTTTAAAGACATTATTTTGTTAATTAATGTTAGATTATAAACTTTTAAAATATATTGAGTTAAGTTGATGTTGTAAAACAAAAGGCATTTAGACGTATTCAGTAACACATTCTATCATATTGAGATAAAGAGAAATTTTTAGAGTTTAACAGAAATCAGTGGTGTTTAGACATCGAGCTCTTCTAAAATGATTATTTGGGCATTTAGTGCGGTGGAGTAGGAGTGTAATTTTGTCAGAGTGAGTGAAAAAGTACTTTTTTAATGTTGTGGCGCATGGCATAACTTATATACTATGGATTGTGAAAAAGTACCCTTCTGTAAGTCAACTAACATTTCGGCAATATGCATAAGGTGTTCATCATTTGGGGTCGCAACATTCAAATCTCTAAAATTAATGCACACCCTCAAAGTCCCATTATTTTAAATTATGGGTACAATATTTTCAAGCCATTCAACATACCTTGCCGTTCTAATGAATTTTCTTTTCAAGAGCCTTTCGATCTCCTGCTTTATTTTCGACATAATTTCTGGGGCAAACTGTCTTGGTAACTTCTTGATCAGCTTCTTCCCAAGATTTATTGGCAGTTTTATTTCCACCAAATCTCAGCTTAAACCTAGAATTTCATTATAATCTTAAGCAAAACAATCCTTAAATTCTTTAAGTAAATTTATTACCTCGATTTTTAGGCCAGGATCGATGTTCGCACTAATATACGTTGGCCTTTTATCATCTCTTTGCCCAAGTTAATTTCTTATATGGGATCTTTGGGTTACATCTTCGTTGGTGATGCAACTGTATCTTTCTCAAATTCCAAAGGCTTATCGTCTTAGATGCAGTCGAGCCTTTGGCTTTCACTCCCATCTTGCATGCCTGCTGTCAGCGGTTCGTCTGGTGGTTTTTTCTTCATTCTTACCATGTTATCCACATCAAAAATTTGGACTTCATTGGCTTTGACAGTCATGTGTTGTACTTTATCCTCTAAGGTCACTTTTAACCTGTTTTCGGCTACATAAGCTAAAATTCGCGGCATAGCATCCAACTCGGCCATCACTGTCGAATTCACTTCCCTAGCCTGTTGGCCGAATTTCATCCTCATATGCAACATTTCCCAATATCCCCTTATCTTAAATTAAACAATGGGTAGGGTGGAGAGTGAGAGAGAAAAATGTTTCCTCTAGAGGCTTGTAAGTGAAGCCTGCAGGTGGACATGGCGCTATGTTCGCCAAGCTCCAATCAAAATTCTGTCTATCTACATAATTAATCTCGACCATGAAGTAGCTTTGGTCTTCTTTAATATTTTTGACTATCCTGTCTTCCCTCCATACTACGACTTGTTGATGGAGTGACGAAGGAACTCCCCCCACACCATGAACCCACTCCCTTCTAAGAAGAAAACTATAGCTAGCTTTTGAAGCAATAACTGAAATTCTAGTATTCGGATCAAAGATGTCCTAAAAGATGTCGAGACACCTTTTAATGAACTTGCACACAATGAACAATATGAACTATAAACACATTGCAGAAAGGTAAAGAACACGAGAAATTGTTAACCCAGTTTGGTGAATCGACACACCTACACTGGGGGCTACCAAGCCATGAAAGAAATCCAATATCAGTAGTACTAATTCAAAGTTAAACTCCCCCATTTATAACTTATTAATTAATCCCTATCCAGTACAACTTCTACCTAGGAACTCCTAGATATGAGTATACTCAATCACTCCTAATCACTGCATTGATATCAACTTAATAGACACCAATAACTTGAAATAGTAACAGAAGTCAACTTCAAGAACAATAATTAGAGTTGCTTACAAGATTCTTCTAAGAACAACAATCAACTATTAAGCTTAAAAGCTCACAAGTGATTCAAAGTTACAACTCAACTAACAACAGTCCTACTCTTTTATTAACATGATAATCGAGAGGCTCACAATTATCGATGGAATACAAACCCTAAAGGATTAGTAAAAACATATAATCTATTCCATATAAATACTAGGTTTTTACCCTTCTCTTTATAACAACCTTCTGGACTGGGTTGGGCTTCAAACCCTCAGCAAATCGGCTACTAAATCACTGCAGAATCTTCTGCATAAAAATGGGACTTCTATCATGAGTTTCCTAAATTATCTTCATAATTAGAAACTAATAAAACTCCTTGAAATCAACTTGACTCTTCTTCAATCTTCAAACTGAGTGCCACATAGAATAGCATATAATATTTTGCATTTGTTAAATCTTCCACTGATCCAATAACCCAGCTTAACACAGTCACGATATCGAATGACTCTGCATAGGACATCTTGTCTGACATGTTACTTCAGTTGATGAAATATCTCAACCAAACATGTTTCTTCATAACATATGACATCTTATTTAACTTGTTTTTCTGAGCAAGTTAACTCATCATATTTAACATATTGCTTCTATATTTGTTTTACTAAAATTAATGTCAATCATAAAAACAGAGAACTAACAATCTCCCCTTTAGAAAATTTTGGCTAAAACAAATAAACTTAGATTTCAACAATCAGAGTTAGTCTTCAAAAGCTACTAAACTCAACAGTATGTCTTCAGCCTTATTGATGTCCCAACATCATGTTTGACATCTTTCTCGCAAGAGCTCCATTTCCTAAAGTTAAACACCTCAGTATAAAAGGAGTAGAAAAGTAATCTTCAAGGGTTGCTCAACATAGAAACATATACTCAATCAGGTGGATATCGGGACATCATGTTCGACATCTCTTCAGCTTTCTACTCTTTCAATATAGAATCAGAAGATTCCCCCCCTTAACAACAGTTCTGTAGATCCAATAGTAGAGCCATGGATCCAATAGATTTTAGGTTCACTCTCTTTCCACACAAACACAGTGTGAAAGCATAACACCAGATGGTGTACATGAGAAAGAAGGTGACTGACACTCCCTCTCAACCCAGAAACAAAACTTCCTTTTAGGGAGCATAAGAAGAAACTAAAGAGACATAAGAGAAGCATTAAGAACCAACCAAACACAAAGCTCAACATTACATATGATAACGCATGAGTGCATGTTTAAGCCTCGGGCAACTCAGAACACAAGAAACAATTGTGTTCATAACTCAGATCACAAGGCACAAAATTCAGAGCCAGGAGGAAAATTCAGATACTCTACCCAACATCCTAAACCAATTGTTGCAAGAATACTCTAGACTTGAAGAGAGAACCACATAAACATGACATTTTCCCCCTTTTTTAGCCAATAATTTACAAAGATATCCCCCACAAAACCATACTCAAGCAATACTTATCCACATCCTGACAAAATCCATAAGAGCTTAGATGAAGGTGTAATACCCCAAATTTGTCCTACCCATATCTGGCTTATGCATCTTACACTTCTCAGTTCATTTTCACACCGTCCATTAAGTCATACAATAAATCATGCATCATCAATAAACTTGGCGTGGGATCAAAGATCTTGAGGTTTAGGGTTTCTCTTTGGCTTTGAGAGTCTCACTTTCATTCAAGGTTGATTCAAGTTATTTCTTTAACAATCTTTGGTTTGTGGAGCTAGGGTTTTGTGTGCATGATTCATTAAAAATTTCTTGCATCAAGATATTACAAGACTCCATCTTCAAGGTTCCTTCAAAAGCATAAGTGTTTATGGTCTCTTCAATGACTCAGATTCAAATGAGAATGCATTGAATTAAGGTTGTTGTACTTCTCTTCATCAAGGTACGTCGAGACCATGTGAATTAGGGTTGGTTCATTCATCATTTTATGACACTTCTCGTGCAAGAGCTTCAAGGTGAGATCTTCAGGATTTCATCAAGAGTTTCATTGGAGGTTTCTTTGAGCGAAGGTCTTGGTCCTCTTAACATCTCAATATCATTTTCTTCATCAAATCACATCTCAAGGGGATTGGGTTTATATCTCACCATAATTGAGTTTGTTAATCAAGGTTCATTAGGGGTATGCTGCTAGGGTCCAAGTATTATTTCCATCTTCAAAGCCAAGACATTATTGTTATGATGGTTTGAGTACAAGGCATGACAAGAGAGGAGGTTATGGACTCATTTTGATCAAGACAGTTTAGTTGTTTCAATTGCAAGTTATCTTAGATTCTAAGAATGAAAGCTTGGGTTTCTTCGAGAATGGAATTTGGATGCATTAAATATTTTGAAGTCCATTTGGTTCAATTGATCAAAGGTTATTTAAGGTTTGCAAGGGTAGAAGGAAGTGGTGAGAAAGACGTGAAATTTCAAGTACAAAGGAAGGACAAGGATGCTTTAGAGATGACATTGAGTTTTCAAAGTCAAGTTCAAAGTTTCAAGTTAATTCATGATAACAAGTATACATTACAATCCATGGTGACCGTTACATATTGAAACACTACAAAAAGGAGAATTAAGAAACATGGCAAGAAATCCTAAAGTTTCCATGAGCCAATAGTTGCCCATGAGTTCTATCCAAAGGTAAATCCACTTCAATTTTCCTTCAATTTACAAAATGTCACGCCTTGCCTTCATGTCATGACCATCGAGCTTTACACCATGCCTTCAATCAATTCATCAAATAACATTGCATAATCAACAACGAAACAACAGCTACATACATACAACAGCCTTGTATTAAAACGAAACCATCATCACCAAGAACCTTCATTGACAAACTGACCCCTTATCGAAACATGCATCATTGAAACAAAAAATCAGCAAAACAATCCCCCATTCAATAATCTCAAGTGCAGCTTTGCAAACAAGAAAGCCAATTCAAAAATTCATGCAATGGGTTCACTAATACCTACATCCAAACAGCTGACAATAAAAACCAAAGTCCACAAACCAAATTTCTAAACCTATTATAATCTTCAAAATTCATCAATCCAAAATCCATTTGCTGAAGCAATTTTTCATTCAACTTGCAGACAGTACAATAAATCCTATCCAGTACATAAATTACTACATCATTCAAATTACAAGGAAATTATACAACTCAACATATTGTCCCTAAAAAGCCTATCTCATCCCAATTCTCCCAGCTATTTCATCTTCACCATTTTCCAAGAGTGACTCCATGGCTCTTAATAACTTGGACTTGCTTCAAACCAATCTGAAACTGCCTTGATTCATACTAAACAGTGATACCGTGAGAACCTGCACACAATTGATAAATCCAGTTCAGTTTGCATACATTCATAAAATCATGAACCGTACGAAACAGGTTGACATAGCCAAGCCAAACTGCATCAATAGTCTAGCCCTACTTCAGTTGAAAAACTCTCTCAAACAAGTTCCTAACAATTCTTTAGAGTTTATACCAATTGTCATTTAACTAATCTCTTAACCACCTTATTTCTAACATGCTAACTTTTGAACCAAACTAACACTAACTTTTCTAACCTCATTAACCAAACTAACACTAACTTTTCTAACCTCATTAACCAAACTAACAATGCTAACTGTTTTTCTAAACAGAGTAACTAACTAACAGAAAACAGGTGAATAACTAATCATAACAGAAATTGAGATAATTGGTAAACTCAGAAAAACTAAAAAACAGAAAATGAGAAAATAATTAAATCAGAGATTCAGAAGTCCAGCTCAGCAATTCATTCGTAACAGAAATTTCAAGAAAATTAACTTTCAAATCTCTCATCCCATCCATTCATCTTTGTAACTAACTTGCATAATTCAAAGGCTCATATCAATTTCGATGTACCAAAATTTTCAGACGATATAACAGAATTCTTCTCACAGATTCAGGGGGAACGATTCATAACAGAAAATTCACAAAACATAGAGACTCGCCTTTCAATTCTCTCTTCAATTCTATCTTCCATAATCTTCACGCTTGAATCTTCATCGTGTTTCACCTTCAAGCCTCGTCTTCATCTTCAACCCTGATTCCATTTTCTCTCTCCGCAAAACCTTCATCTTCACCTTCTCTAAAAATCTCTGAAAAGATCCTTCTGCGACCGAAGCTTCTATCTCCATCAACAACTTTTATTCTCTGCACAAACTTCGTTAATCTCATCCAAGCCTTCAACGCATCATCACCATAACTCCCTACATCCGCAACAACATCAACGTGCCACTTCCATCTTCAACAATATCGAATCTGCAGCATCAACACGCATCACGAAACGCGCAGAAAGAATCTCAGGATTTCTGGTTTGTTATCTTCGTCGCTGCGAACACCATCGGAGCGACTCTCATCGGTAGGCTTCAAATCTTCCCTTATCATCATCTATGCGTTTAATATTCTAATTTGATTATGATCGAATCTTGTGAGTTGAGATGAATAAGAAAAGGCGGCCTTATGTTTCGATCGGAGAAGAACAGAGTCACGCCATTTGAAGCAAAGCGGAGGAGAGAGCGAGACAGTCGAATCGAAGTTCGTTGACGGGGAGAGGAAAGATGATGAGGAAGATATGAAGACGAATCTGCAGGTTGTAATCGCCATTGAGTACCGGCCGCCGTTGGCGCGGCGGTATCATTGTCTGAGTTCTCGTTGAAGCTTAAAGAAGAGAGGGAAGAGTAATTAGGTTTAGATTCAGCTGAAGGGATACGAGCCTTTGATCAAAACGGCATCGTTTAGGTATATCTATTTTCTTTTTTACTGTTTTGATAAACTTGATAATAAAATCTGATGGACATTGTTAGAATTGTTGGATTGCCTTGGGCTTTGGCTAGGCTTTGCTTTGCTTTTCGCACCCTATTCAGAGCCATCATCACACGTTTTTTTGGTTTTTTTATTACTGAATTGAATAACTGGGCCACATAACTAAAGCCCAATGCGTATTACACCACCACCTTCTATTCACATCACCTGTTTGATTCATACACCTCCATTTTCCACCTTATTTACACTTTGTTTCTTGAATTTTGGCGATTTAACTATGGTACTTTGTCTCATGATTTTTGGCTGAAATTTTGTGTGGATACTAATATGTTACTCCTTGACTTAGTGATATTTTTTTCACAATTTTTCTATTATCTTGGGAATTAATTGAATTAATGTTTGGTACATGATTATAATTAGGATTTTTAACACGTTCTTATCGTTTCCGTATCATTGATTCAATTTCCTTGGCATGATAAGTGTTTTAATGGTAGGTTCTGATCCCTGAGCGATTCCTTGTTATTTGCTAACTCGTTTTGTGGATTTGTGCAATCTTCTAATGGAGATTTCACACAATGTGATATTTGCGAATTACTTTTGCATTGTATAGTTTTGCATCTTGTGCAGAACTATTACATGATGACTCAGATGCATGTGATTTTTTTCCACATGGATGCTTCGACGCTCATTTTTATATCTGATTTTTAGATTATTTCTCTATTTCTTAGTGAAGCTTGCACGAATTATTTCGAGTTTCTTAGCTTTTGATCGCACTGCTACAGATTGATATATGTTTGGTACATTCTGATTCGGGTTTAATTTCAGCATTGAATTTTCGTTGTCTTTTCCATGAGAAGTAGGAATAGAAATGCATGCTTTACCGCTTTTTGATGCCACGAGAAGTAGGAATAGAAATGCATGATTTACAGCTTTTTGATGCCATGAGAAGTAGGATCAGTGGGAGTTGCTATTTAACAGACATGTACCAGGAAATTCCTACTTGTGCATGATCATACTGCTATGTGTTTACATTTGTGCCCAAAGAGCTCAAAAATATGCGTCCCATTCCCATTCCCCATGATTAAGTCCTCACATAAGGCAATGTGAGCAGAGGATCCGCAATTGACCCCGTCAGTGTCATGTAAAGCTCGTGTCGTGCATTGATGCTACAAATCATACTACTCTTGTTATTGAGTCAGTCAAGTGGAGCCAATCCCCCACGCTTTGCCATTAGCTTATGTGACGTACACGTTGATGCTCCGAGGTGATCTCATTATTGTATTCTATCTTCTGCCTCGATAACGTAATATCTTGGTTAGGTGTTTAGTCACTTGTGGCGATTTACTCTTGCTCTTCTCTTCTCAGGATAACGTGATATCTTGGTTAAGGGTCGATGCTTCTCATCTTTCTTTCCCCAATAACATGATACCGCGGTTATGAAACTGTCGTACCCCAAATTTGTCCTAACTCGATGATTTTATTTTTCAAGACAGATAGAAGAAGATATCTTAATTAAAGATGGTTTAGCAATATATGATGGCCCATCTTTACCCAAGACGATCAGGGGGTACTTTAGATTCAGGAAAGCATGGGCTCTCTAAATCAGAAAGACTCGTATGTTCGTGAACACATTCGCGAAGCATATTGGCCATTGGCCCATGCGATTCGAAAGTGAAAAAAAAACATTTCAATAATAATAATTAAGCTTTTGCTAAAATCATTTAGAGATTATTGATGTTAGTAAAAAAAAAGGATGTATTTACCAAATTAACTAAGCCCATTAAATTTATTTAATCGGCCCATCTGGCATTTTTGGGAAAAGAAAATATTATTATCATTTTAAAAATATATATAATAAGTAAATAATATGTAGAACGTGATGTTTTATTTAGTAAACTCTTCATGTATTAAAAGAGATTAGATTAAATTGCATTTTATTTTATTAACATTTCTTGGTTAACAAAATTATGTTTGGATCAAAATATGAGAAGAGAATTGAGGCCCAAGTTGAATTACAAAGAAAGGGTTCGTTGAAAAATTGTTAATGGCCCATTTTGTATTTTGAACAAAATATTTGTGGGTTTAATGTTTATTAATTAAGTTTGTAATGTTAAATCATGTTTTATTAATAAAAGAGTTTTGCTTATGGATAATTAAATTAGGAGGGTTGAATTAAAAAGTTGTTTCTTACTGAAAGTAAAAAAAAAAACAAGTTGGACTAGATGAAGCTAATAAACGTGCAAGGTCCAATCTTTTACAATAAAATATTATTTTTCATTAAAGAAGTTATTGGACTAATTATATAGTATAATGCCATTTAAGCTCAATCGGATTATAAAAAAAACTGTTGTAAAGATTGCTTGATAGAATAATGCAGGGCCCAATTTGATTAACCACTAACAAGCATTGTATCAATTTGTAAACAAGATTTGTGCATGCTTGTTGGCTTCAATAATTACTGTGTAGATTAAACAGAATCAAATGTATCTAAATATGCAAATTAACAAAAAACTAAATCTCCAAAACTAAATCAAATCAAATCTCTTGTTTCACAATTCAAATCTAAAATTGCAAAGGAAATTAATTCCAATCTTCATCTTTACAAATCCAGAAACAAAATATACAAGAATTAATATTACAAAAAACTAATCTTAATAGAGATTATAGATCTAAAAAGCTAAACAGAATTTGGAAAAAATGACGTTACAGAATCACAAAATCAAATCCAAAAAAGGCTAGGAAAATCTGTGAAACCTAAGCTTACAGAACAAATCCAAGATTACAATTTCAGAATCAATTACTATCTAATTACAATCAATAATGAATCCCTAATTTCACTATATTCCTAAATCTAAGCTTGAATTGGTAACAGAAATTCATTCAAAACCCTAGATCTAAATTAATATATAAATACAGAAGAAGAAGAACAGTGGAGAGCATTCTTTTTCTTGGACGGCAAACGGAGAGAAGAAATTATGAAAAAGACGTTACCCGAGCCAAGCTTAAAGAAGCAATTAGAGTTTCGAAGCCCGAAACCCTAACCGCGTGACTGTGTGTTTGCTGCCACGCCTCCCTAACTACCGTTGACTTTCACCATCATCCTCAAATCTTCAATCATCGCTGAAAATCTGCAAAACAAGGAAGGAGGAAAATATTAGCAAACCGGATTCAGAGAACTCGGGACAGAAAATCACGAATAGGGTAACAATGACTTAGCTATTTTATTTGTTTGATTTTGTTTAGGGGTCGTGTTGGTGGGTTTAACTGGCGGTAGGTTTGGGTGAGTTTCACAGTCGCCGGAGGTTCTGAGGGTTAGGGTGGCGTTTGGGGATGAGAGGATGAAGAAGGTGAGGCGAAAGGAAGACGAAAGGTGAATTGTAAAATGAAAAGTGAGAATAACATATTATTATTCAATCTGATCCCATACACGCAGATTCATGATAACTGGGATGCACCCTTAAAATCCTTCGCTAGATTTTGATCTGACGACCCTAAGGCTAAGTCACACTCTAACTCTCATGCACCGCATCATACACGATCAGCCTTCCACCTTTCAAAAACGTGTTAGGCCTAAGCCCAATGCTATACACGCCCCCCCCCCCCCCCCCCCCCCCCCCACCCTTTGATACAACTACTGAACTAAGACTAGCAGCGCACCCCCCCCCCCCCCCTGTCCAGACTTGTTTTGGGCTTGGCCA